TTAGCATCTACATCTTGGCTGCCTCTTCATCTTCAGGTCTTTGGAGTCCGAGAAATAAGTAACTACTAAGAATAAAATGAGTTATCATCCTTCAATACAGTAGATGTGTCATATGTATGTGCATATTTGTGCTTCTGCATTAATCTAACTACATGTTAACCATTAATATGCTCCCTCAATATGTCTACTCCAGACACTGTTATTAAAGCCAGTTTCTGATTTCCCAGAGCTACATGCAACCATTACATAGGTGGTGGGGAAGACAGCAAAGCCAGGGGTCTGACCTCTCAGAAATCATTGAAGAGCAACACTCAAAAAATAATACAGAGAAGAGCACACTGTAGCAGAAGCAAAGATCACGTACTGTCTGCACACTGCAGGGCACTGAGGAGAGGGTGCAGGTTTGGATTCAAACAGTTAAAAGTGCATTTCTGCTGTGTAACGTATTTGTGTCACTTGAGATAGATAACCTGGGATACCCAAGTCACCCACATGGGGCTTATAGATAGGCATGATAGACATGGGACATACCTACAGGTGACCTGAACCTCTCTGAGGAACCAGAAGAAACATGGTGGGAGACACTTGGGCATCTCTAATGACACTAGATGCCCACACTTAGACAACTAAATCCTGCCCTAGCTCTTCACTTCTCCACTGACAGGAAAAGAAACTTAGCTCTCTAGTTTACTGCAGACACTTTTATTTAGATACCATAAATCAGATGTCTGAATATGAGGGGAAATGCCAGTCAGCCCGCATGACTTCAGTGCTCTCTGGATTTCACTGACCAGTTTTGGTAACTTGGAGCTTGTCTCTGGCAGTGACTAAGTGAACTGCAAAGCAGATTCGGTCAAGATAATAAATTACAGACTCACAGGTGATTTGCAAATATTTTTGAGTTTTGTAAAGATGTTGTAGCATGCATTTTCATGTTAAATAAAATTTTAAGATGGCAAAATGTCTCTGAAAGCTTTCATCTTTCTTTGAAAGAACTTTTTTTCCCCCAAGGTTTGTCTCTCATAAACATGTTAAAACACCACAAGCAAAGGAATAACATAACCCACTGATGAAATGACAAGCCACATAAGTATCCTCACCCTGCAGGAAACCCCATCACAACTTTGCCCTGCCTACACATTAATGAAAAAATCTTGTGTTTTGTAAATAAGCTCTGCAAAGTCTGGTGGAAAAGCGCTTTCTTCATTGCTTCATCAATAAAGTTACTATGTGACTTTTAAAAAATTCCACTGCACTAGGGAAACTTCTGTTTCCTTTTATGTCCAGATTTAGCAAGTTTTTCAAAGCCCTTCTTATTAAGAAAAGTTGTGGCTGGAAACATGGATAAGTAGGTACAACGATTCTAGAAGCTATAAATATTCAGGTTATGATATTCAAGAAATTATCCTCTCTGAGGTGGGCTTTATTGTCTCTTAGGGCCCACCTGCAGCTAGGTAAGGGCCTCCCAAAGTGAAGTGGATGGCCCTAAATGATCAGAGGTGGTATTTAAAAAATAAACACAAAATTAGTTTCACACCTACTTAGACAGTTTAGAATTTTAATGTGCAAAGTCTGCCAGGGCTTTGCAGTGAAATAAGGGCATGCATTCAAGCTCCCTAAAGCCAATCAGAAAGCCGGGCTGAGTACTACCCATTTCTCAATTAGGAATCACTGCTCAGTTCTAGAGCATATTATTAATGAACAAACTGTTACTTTGATCATATTTTAACATTTCTAAGCTCACAAAAACTAATGATGTTTAAGAAAGAACTGTTCTTGCTTCAAAAAACACAGATAAGTGTTGAGATCTGTTTCATGTCACTGTCTGCAAGCACTCTAGCATATAGCAAGCTTTTGCAAATTTTTCCCAATGTCTCTCCCCTCCCCTTTCGACTGAGAATCTCCCTCTAAGCGTATTTTGACACATTCCTAGTTTTGTTTTGTGACTTCTGGATCTCTGGTAGCCCTGGCACAGGTCAAAACCTTTGTATCTTGGGTCATCAGCCATATGACAGCTAGGTCCTGCCTGGCCACTCACGTTCACCTATCACCTCCTGGGAGCTGCAGCAGACAGGCAGGCCTAGCACTGACCCTTGTGCTGCATGTGCAGCCCATCCAGCATGTCCTGCATTTGTCTTGGATTATTCCACATCTGCCAGACAGCTCTTACGCACATCACTGGTTTGGAAAAGCTCTAGGTATGACCGAGCGTGACTCAAACCAGTCACTGGCTTTAGAGGGGGGATGGATAAATGTATATTTCACTATTTTATACCAGTATTTCTTTATGTTGTTCAATACTGAGCAGTGCTTGCTCTTACTGGAGCTCTGGTATTCTGAGCGATTTAACTTTGCTACCACCGCTTCACCTTCGAAGGAGTGTGACAAGGCAGCCTCAGACTGCAGTTTTCCTATATTGCCTGTAGTTCCTAAATAAGGATCAGCCTCCACTGTGCCTGGCACTGTTTGGATCTGTGTGAAAGAACATTTATTCACCCTAAAAAACCTTGCCAATTAACACTGCATTGTTTCAGATTGTTCTTTGTATCTCCTTACAGTGATTCTTAAATCCCCAAAGGTATGAGTTTATGATAGCAGGATGATCCTGTTGCTGGTTTTTATGAGTGCATTTTGTGTTAATGGGTTTCATCCCATGAAGTTCCTGCCATGCACCACATTATGAGTGCCCTCATAATTAGATTTGTTAAAAACTAGAGTGTCTAAAATGCACCTACAGTTAAATCCAGACTCTCTGTTAGGCTTAACCTAGTTAGTCAGTGCAAGACAGGGGTCTCAGGACTCCACCACACCCAGCATATTATTCATACAGGGAAATAATTTAGGAAATAATAGTTATTCTTACACTGACAGCTATCTTGGCACCCCCCAATACATGTCTGATTATATGATGTCCCTGAACTGATTCATAAACACTAATTAGCTCCCTCGTTTTCTTTTGAAGTGAAGCAACTGATCTCTGTGACACCAGACTTGTGAGCCATCCCAGTGAGACACAACTTAGGGATCACTCCCACCAGCCCACATGGCTGTCCACAGCTTCTTCCCCAACAACACTGCTACCCCTGCCCTGGATACAGTGACACGGCTATTTTGCATCAGCTGGAACAAATGAATTTTGCTGTTCAGACACAGTGACCATGGACAAGGTTGTCCCTGAGACGTTTCCTCTCTTTGCCCCTTATCTGATCCCAGTTACTTGGAGTCCAAGAGCCAGAATTTTTTCCAAGGTTTTCTTTGCTAAGTTGAGGAAGATGACAATGATAACACCACTTTTATATAATAGCCTATGTCCAGGTGGCTAGTTTAAGAACCCAGATTTAGGGGATATGTCTCTACACGTGGCATGTATTACCATAAGGGAGAAATACAGTCCCAGTGAATTATACATTTCCCTCTACTTGCTTGTGAAGTGGTCCAGAAGACAAACTAAGCACACTAAGCATATATTTCTCTATACAGATTAAACAGAAAAAGCCAATGATGTGACTCCATCCAGATGAAACCTAGGTCACCTCCCTTTTTTCTGAGGAGAAGACCCACATTCGGAAAGATGGGTATTTTTACATATCACTGTAATTGTTAGAACATATGTAACATCAAGACCCCACTCATGTCAAGACATTTGTGAAACCATCACTTATTTTATCATAATGACCCAGCTACAAAGAGCAGGTTTAAATTGTACAGATTAAAGTGCTAGCTGTCCTTTATATCTTGCCTGCACTACCAATAAGACCATAGAAATTTCTGTAGGGGGTAAAACAGCATTATCACTGGAAAGGAAATGTAAAATTACTTCAGAAGCTATGATTTTAATTACAGAGGGTAGAATGGAGATGAGGACAGAATAGGAAACACAAATACAAAGGGAGTATAAATAGTGTTGTCTCTTAGGACAGTATTATTTATCTTACTCTGGCTATAAAGTTTCTTTATTTTCTTAACTTCCTGCTTTGGAAAGCAGCCACTAAATTAAAAGAAAATGTGGTTTTGTAATGCACTGGTAATTTTTTTTTATTTTTTTTTTTAATTCATAAAACTGGAGAATACAAAGCAATGATTAATTTAAAAAGCAGGTTGAAGAAAGATTCGGCTAATTCCAAATCCTTAAAGACAAAACAAAAAGAAAACCCAAATCAAAACAAAACCAAACAAAACAAAACAAAAAAAGAAGAAAGAAAAAAGGAAATCCTTTCCAAATTAAAAAAAAAAAAAAAGAAAAAGAAAATCATCTAATTAATGATGAATATTAAGAACAGCTCCCCTTTCTCATTTTTTTGCCTGGTTTTGCCATTCTCACATTCATCAGAGCAGAGTTGTCACTGGGGTAAATAATACTGAATCTAATGTCTACTCACAACGCAAAGCCCCACTCACTTTCAGTAAGGATATCATCATTCCCTAAAAAGCTGTACAGAAAAAGAAGAAAAGAAAAAAGAAAACGGATTCTGAAATCAATTCTTTAAAGAAAATATGTAAAACTGTGATTAATGGGTAAGTGTATGATACAATTGCCTCAACCTATGGCCCTGTTGTGACTGTAGGCACCACAGGATAGCCCAGTGAGTGCCTGGCTTCCATGCCAGAAGCAAATCCCCCATAGGTTTTTGCTGTCTTTCGCAGCACTGAGTGGACATGTTTGATACCTCAGGGCATCTCAAATGGCTCCATATGACTTTGTTTAAGAAACTGGACCTCTTCCATAAAGTCATCATTCCACATCCTTATTTTTAAAACACTTCCTGACTTCTTCCTTGAAACCCAATACTTTATTTGTACCTCAGGCCGATTTAGCACACAGTAATCTAATGTTATAGCACAGGTAATAGCTGTGTCTCTGCAGCTAAATCAAAAGTCATTTGGCACCAATTGGCTTGGGCTTTCCTGAGAAGATTTGTCTTGGAGTGGAGTGGTCCAAAACAGAGCCAGAAAGCTCTGTTTGATGACCAGGTTGGATGATCGCAAGTCTTGCACTCAAACCCATTTCCTAGCCTCTTCCCTTTAGCAGTGTATAGGCATAAACACACAAACACAGACACATGAACCCTTATGTGTGAATGCACACACACACACATGCATGCACATACCCAAGACTCAAAGACTCAAAAACTTGCATGAAACTTCAAGAAGTCCTGCTTTTGTACTAGGTTGTGACATCATAACGAGATGCTGGACCTCCATGGTGGTGAAATTCTAGAAGCTGTTTGATCCACAGACCACTAAAATCAGCTTGTCAAGTAAGAAGGGCTGTTTCTTCTCTGGCAGAGAAGCATCTTGTTTTAGAGTAGACATCCAGCAGCCCAGGAAAGAGAAAGGAGGAAATAATATCTTGTCTTGTTTAGCTCTGTAGCCAGTGGAGGAGGATCTGAAGGGATGTCTAGCCCACCCATCCATCCATATTTTAAGACATACTGAATGTGCATCTGAGCATGCCTGTCTTTTTCCACTGGCCTTAGAGGGACCCTGATCAGTAACTGCAGACTAGAGACCTGACTTTTGGTTGAATAAAATAGGCAAGAGAGTTCCCACATGTGACTAAATTTACATTTTGTCTGTAACAGTGATCACTCACTTGGTGAGTGATCTCCCTGTCCTAATCTAAGCCCACGAGCTTTCCATCTTACTTTCTCCCTCCTGTCCTGTTGAGGAGGGTGAGCGAGTGGCAGCCAACCGATGTGAGGCAACCACAGGAGGTTAAGCTGTTCCTACCTGTTGTAAGACAGAACTAATTCAGATTCCTTAAAATTTCTGCTGATGTAGCAGCAGGAAACAAATGCAAAACCACTGCAAGAGTATAAATGGAATCAGCGTGCACTGACTATAACTTTACTGGTTATAAAGGAATGGGATACAGTGCCAGGAGGTGGAGCTATCAAGAGTTGCACTATGCTGGGCCAAAATACTGACCCAAACCATTAAGTACTTCTTGTTTAACACTGAAAATTTTCTGTAGCTTAAGGAAGTGAACATCATAACCTATTTTCCTCAATATGCTGGAGCTTGTCATCATTTTCATTAGGCCCATTCATGACTGCAAGATAAATTGAAGTGCCATAAATAGAACTGTATTGGCATAAACATAATTTCTGTACTTGGCACTTGACTTAGGTAAACAACCATGCACTTCCAGCAAGCCTCAAGGTTTGAGCATCATCATTTCATGCTGCCAATGCAGTCTTCTACAGCTAGATGATTTAAATCTGAGGCAGGCTGAAATGACCTTTGGGGTTGTCTGCTTTCCTCCATTGCTTACAGAAAGAGCTTCATACAGCATTGTCCCTCACTTGAGCATCCTTGGTGCTCAGGGTGGAGGGGTAGGTTAGGTCTGGATGTGTAGGTCTGGAACTGCCCGGGTCAGGCAGCCCCAGTGCACCACTACCCTGAATTGCAGCAGAGCAGGCTGGCTCTCAGGCTGTTGACATGAGCAGTGGTGACCCACAACACCTCATCTGGCGGCAGGATTTCATACCTGGGAGGGGCAGGTGCTCCTGCCCACTATTTTCATCTCCCACTGAATTCCCAGGGCAGCAGGAGCCAAAAGTTGTATCTTACACAAAAGAGCAGTTGCAAGGCAGCAATTCTTCACTGCCAGGAATGGAGGGAAATGGATGTTAACTTCACAGCCTGTCAGTAACCACGGCATTGGGTTCTCTAAGGTTTCCAGCCAATTATCTCAATGACGTGGATGTTGAAGTAATTTACAAGGCGGCACCTCCAAAGTCAGCTTCCAAATGTTATGGGTTGCTGAAATTACAGAATGCACAAAGATTAATGAGTGTAATCCCACACAACTTTCTCCTAGAAAAAGAAAAACCACAAGCAGTCTTTAAAGAATAATAAAGATGTAATGCAGTGTCTAAGAGTTTGGTTGCTTGTCATAACTGGGACTCCTACACCTTAGCCGAATCCATGTGGACATGCCTGGGACTGACATTAAATTCAGTGTGTGTGTGTAGTATTTTGAAGGTACAGGAGTGTCTCATCCATATGCAATTACCTGCAAGACTGGGAACATAACATTTATTTGCAAAGGAAATATCTTTCTTACAGTGAAAGATATGCACCCAAAGTTTAAGCAGTGCATTTGTGATTTTTATTTTGTTGTGCAATTCCAGTTTGTGAGTTAACTTCTTCCACAGAGTTTGCAGGCTCCTTCAATGGCAGTGCTGTTCCCAGTGAAGCATGCAGTGAGTAGTTAATCATTAATTCTTCATGGTTCATATTTGCTGTCTGCTTTACTGCATATAGTTTGATATAGTTCCTTCCAATAGACTTAATGCTGTCATTAGGAGTCACATGCTGGATCTTTATCTGAACTATTATCACAGTCCAGACATAGCATTACAGCCTCTCTTTGTAAGCCAGAGTTATGGAGTTCAGAAAGCCTTAAAACTTAATAAATACCATGGGTTTTATGGTAATGGAACAGCTGCAACAGCAGACTGACACACACACACACTCTGAGCCTGCCTAGTTGCTGTAAACAGGTGCACCTAGAAGCTAAAGCTCTTATTTTTTTTATCCGTGACACTAATTTCATTGTCAAAGTCTAGTTTAACAATTGCATGTGTGTTAGGATAATGTAAAAGAATCCAGACACATGTGGCGACTGAAATTTCTGGCTGTTGCAAAGGGGGTGAATTTTTAAATTAAAACTGCAGTTTTTATTGTGCAGATAAAACAGCCATCCACTTGCAAAAATCAAATGAAAAATCTTTTGTTATTAATGGAAATCATAAGCTGCATGATACAGAATAATAAAAATTATCACAAAACGGCGTTAATTATGGTATATAACACTGATTCTATGTACATTCTAGGAAGCTCTAAACTTTTATTTTAAAATCTCAGACATAGTCTGGGCTCAGATTCATATGTGCTTTAGAAGAACTCATTTCTTACTGTGTTAAAGTGCACAAGTGGGAAGGCAGAGGCATTTGAAAACTTCAGCTCAAGTGCCTTAGGTCAGATCACTAGGCCTGTGGCTAACCTGTTCAACCACACTAGAAACACTTTCCTCCTCCTCACTGTGCATTAGTCTGCTTATTCCTTGGAAGATAATTTCTAAGATCGGGATCAACAGTAAATAATTGCATTTGGCATTCCCGTTGGTTGACACCTTCCATAGGGAATGCAGTGAATTCAATTTACATTGGGTGAGTCATCTCTCACACAAGTGTTTTCTTCCTTCCAGCCACTTTTGGAGAATCTGCTTAACAGGATGTGATGCCCCAAAAAGGCCAAGTGGAATCTAAATAGGTTACTGTGGAACCACCAAAATACTCTTTGCATCAGTACAACACCATTTATAGGCTAGAAACTCAGCTGAGAAGCGAACAATATGAGCCTGGGTGGAATTCTGTGTTAATACAGCCATAATGCTTCCCATAGGCCAGCAAAAATATCCGGGGTGGCTTCCAGTATCTCTGCATGAGACTGAACTGAGCCATTTACACATACCTTCACACCATGGCTTTTACATGGACAGGTTTGCCTTGTTTCAGGTAATAAAGGGCTTTTCCTCATCCATGTAGAAAATCCTATAGAATATAGAATCACAGAATCATAGAATAGGTTGGGAAGGACCTTAAGATCATCTAGTTCCAACCCCCTCTACCATAAACTAAACCATGCCACCTAAGACTCCTTCCAACTTGGCCCTGAACACTGCCAGGGATGGAGCATTCACAACATCCTCGGGCAATCTGTTCCAGTGCCTCACCACCTTCATAGTAAAGAGCTTCTTCCTTATATTGAAAGTAATATAATACAGATGAAGCCAATAAAGACATGGAGAAATGTCCTGTAGAAATTAGATCCTTTCTGAAAGTCTGTAAGTCGTACAATAAAATTCAACACAGAATTACATCTCTGCTTTAGAAATTGATGAGTTGATTGAAAGGTGAATATTCTCTTGAAGTTCCACACAGTTTTCCTTTGATGACTGGAAACTGCGTAGAAATAGGCTTGTCTTCTTAGGATTCATACTCTCCCAGTCAGACCCTGAACCCAGAGTTTCCAAAGACAGGTTTTGTCACCCCCCTTTCATAGAGTATTTCTTGGCTTTAAAATTGGCAGCTGTAACCTGAGCATTTATGGAGATGTCACAATCAGGCTTCCTCTGTTTGATATCTGGAAAAGTCATCTTTACTTGCCTTCAAGAAATTAAACTTTCCAGACAATTTCCCTAAAGTGAGACAAGCTATGGACTTGTAATGTCTCAAAATTGATTTAGAGATTATTTTTAAGAGAATGTCCTTAATAGTCTTCAACCAGAGCAGTTTTACACAAAGCCCACTGGAGGGTGGCCAGCTGGGTTTGAACTTCCTTGTATTTAAGTCCAAAGAGTTCCACAATTTTTTCAAAAACTAGTCTATCTAACAGTGGTCTGCTGTCAAATTTGATAAAAGTTAGTTACCACATGTGGTCAGGATACAATCCAAAACAGGAAGCACAGCATCCGATGAAGCAGATGACAAAATGCCAGCAGCAGATATCTGGAATATGCATTCCTCAAAAAGAAAATATGTTTTGCCATTGGGCAACATAGTTCACAGAAATTAGCTGCAATTGTCTCCTTTCACTTGGTGCTCTGCAATTCAGATATTTGAATTGTTCTGAAAGCCTTCTCCACACCCCTTGAAATTACTGAAGAAAATGATAGTGATTAATCTCTTCTTCTGCCAGTGTGCCAATGAATGAAGAACATAATTTCCCTTTAACACTTCTTCAGAGTGCACTGCAGATCTACAAATTCAGTGTAGGTTGTAATTTGGGATTATGTCAGACAATTTTTTAAAACATATATGCTTATTTATCAATATTTAAATGCTTTAGCTTCCCCACAGCCTCCATCTCACAAACCAAGATTACAGTATTTGTGGTGTCTTGCAAGATTGTCAAGGCCCAGCAGTTTTCAACATTTATCCAAAGTGTCTTATGCTCAGTTCTTTGCTTTCTCCCTTTCATGGACTAACATCACATGTGCTCAGTGTTGTAAAAGATTCATCTGGTATGTCCTGTTCCTGGTCCTGACAAAATAATCTGCATTAATACATTAACATGTATTACTACCTAGATTTAATAGCAACAGAAGTCCCAGACATCCAAGTGACAAGAAAAAGAAGGGAACAAACTGTGGTTTTTATAGATGCCAAGAGCTGGCTTTGGCAGTTTGCAGACAGCAGAGTCCACACACACCTGGAGTGGCCAGAATGCATCTACTTATAGTGGTTACCACTCTCTGTTTGTTTGCTGTTGGGGTTTTTTTAAATGTAGAGGACCTGAGTGTGACTACATTCAATTCCTTCTTTTAAGTTATCGATGTTTTTCTCTTGTCTCAATTTTGCATTTCAGTGGGTATCAATTTTTTGTTTTCTCTGTTATTTCCAGTAATTCACTTATTTTGTTCCACTTTTCCCTGTTTCTTTTACAATCCTTCTCCAGATCTTTGTGTCCAGGTCTGTTAAGCATGTAGACAGCTATGACAGTATAGCACTAACAAGAATATATCATGTAAATAAGTCTGTTTCCAAGAACTAACTCTATTTCTTTTGGCTGTGCTGTGGCATAACACATCTAGTTCTACTGGTGCCACCTAAAGTGAAGGGTTACTGTATTTGCTTTCACTGAAGCCAATATAAACCAGAAGTAAATTAGAACCGTTAGCCACGCTAATGAAATTGGCAACACTCGTCGACAGTAGCAATGGGAAAAGCAAGTGCAGTATACTCTGGTGCACGTGCCCCAGCTTCTTTACAGATCAAGATGTGACTCACAGATTCTGGAGTCACCAAACTGCCAGCAATATAGCTTGGTCAAAGGAAAAACAAAATCCTCGCCCAAGGAGAGATTACATTACACAGTAAGATTCAGTTTTGATGAAGGTTTTTACAAATTGTTTTGTTACTTGAACTCAGTTCCTGTGGGAAGATTGTCTGGCCTCAAGATAAAGAAAAGAATAATAAGAAAATTTAAATTCATTAACCAGAACTACCAGAAAAGTTCCCCTCAGTCTCCAGACTCTGGGTTTTCACCCCTATTTAAGTAGTCAAGCAGACTCTGCTCAGAGGTTCAGCTACCAGCTCTAAAAGATTACCCCAGAAACAGGGAGCATTTGAAATAAATGGAACAGCTGTCTGTATCGCCTCAGCTATAAAAGAGACTGTATTTCAATAAAGAAACACAAATAATTAAATATTTTCTTGGGTTATGGTAGGAGGCAATTGGGAGCCTTTCCTTTCAGCCTGCTGGTTCCCCCTGGAGCTTAGACACCACCTGTTCCAAGGAGCTTCTGGGGCTGAATGGCTGGAAGGTGGATTTCCTCCTGAAACAAAACCAAAAGGCATGGAGGATGCCAGCACTCTCAAGTGAGGGAAGGCTCACTATTATTGTTGCTTCAATTGTTTGGTGGGTCTTTTGCCTCAAATAGAAGGTGATTTCAGCTAAATGTTATGTGCTCGCTTAGGGCTTGCGATATTTTTTTTTTTTATTTTGGTGATGTGTCCTTGTGCTTGCAATTTTTTAATCTGTTTCTAAAAAGATCAGCAGAATAGTTTTAATTCTTACAGACAAAGAGTAAGGAAAAAACCTGAAAAGGGGTTTCTCCTGACTGTCATTTACACTTAGCCGTTTTGAGTCATCTGAGTAATTGACTAGGACAATGCAAACACCTGTTTTCTGGGGCACAAAATATTACCATATAACAGTTAGTTTTGCAGCCTGACACAAATATTCAATTCGAAATTTTAAATGAGATTAAACCTTCACATTTATAAGAAGAAATATTTGGATTATTTCTAGGCTGGGAGGAAGGATTAGAGAGGAAACCTTTCTATCAACTTTCTTCACTTTTATCTTTCTGTTGACAACTGGGACAGAGCCAGCGGGATAGGGGAAAGCCTCTGCCATAAATAAAACAAATGACAAACCATGACCCCGCTCTGCTCCCACCCTCACCATGTAAGGTGCAACCTAGGGTACAACTGACATCCAGAGACGCAGAACTGGGAGACTGAGTGACTCCAAGGAGGTCTATGGATATGTGGTTTATGCAATTTATGATGAATTTTTAAGGTAGAAATTCCACATTCTGGATGAGGAAGAAGAGATGGCTATACTGCTTTAACAAAAATAACTTCTGGTATCCCATTAAGGACAAAAATTTCTTTAAAACATGCAAGACTTTCATTAAAAAATAAAACTCATTTTTAGAGCATATTAAAAGCATTAACACAGTGCCTGCTGCCAGAAGAGCCCCACTGCAGCGCTGTTGAAGGAAGGAGGACAGCATCGTTATTTATGAGCGTCTGCACTCTCTCAGCCTTTCATGAAACCCTAATTTTATCTGGCAGCTCTTAAGAATCTCTGAGAAACAGGGTCCTTTGTTACCACTGAATCCAACTGACTTCTGCACCTAAAGAGACATGGACACTTTTTCCTAAATAAAGAAGCCCAAACTTCCTGACATTAATGTCACAGTACTGGTTTAGGCCCTAAACTTCCAAGCTCCTCTTTCCGGGCAAGCAGCAACAGACACCCCTTTTTTGCTCAACTTCCAGCTCTAGGTTTTACAATAATTTTGCCAAGAACAGGATCAGGCCTCAGTCATTTGTTTTCATTGGGGGGAAAAACAAGACAAAGCAAAACAAACAAAACCCCTTTATTACCCTTTGACAGGAGCAGAGTTAAGCCCAAGGGGGTTATTTTTCTCTCATTAACTTTTTCCAACCTCATCCCTCCCCCATTTTCTTTCTCAGATTTACTCCCAAACAGTTCATGCATACATATCCATATGCCTGTGTGTCTATCTGTGTGTGTGTGTGTGTACGTGCTCATTTATCCTCGTAATGAACAGGAATCTATCTGTTCAGATAATTTGCTGTTGTTTGCAACATGATACAGCTAGCCCTTTTAACTTCAGTGTGAAAAAACAGCCTGATCCCGTAAAATAGGCCTTTTCTCTCCTGAGAGCTTGTTCCAAGATTGCGGAACCAAGGCTAGCAAAGAACATCTGCAACAGTTAGTGGAAACCCTAAGAATTCTTGTGAATAAATAGATTGGAAACTAAGTTGGAAATTTCTCAGTGAGATATAAATTTTAAAAAATGAAATCCAGTTGAAGTACCCAGTTTCCCTGGGAGAATACAAGTCTAGCCAACCCAAGTCTAAATACATGTGGTAGTGATCACTGTATGCTGTTTCCAGTTTATCATCAAAAACAATCATAGCAAAATTATTGTCATTCAAATTTAGCTTCTAATAAATGTTACACTTGATTATAAACCTAATTTATAATTATGTTAGAAAAAGATGAAACAATTAATTCTTTAAAACTTCCTCTATTATTTTTTTTCCTATTGCCAGATATAACCAGAATCCTAGATGAACATTAAATGTATCAATAAAAGCCACCAATGAAAACTACATATCAGGTAGATTGAAGGGCTGTAATTCAAGTTTTACATCAGTCTGTTTTCAAAATATTCATGGTGGCAACTCCTTGCAGATCAGACTCAGTGAAAAACCTCTTTTCAAAGGCTGAGATCTCTTAACTATTTAGACTTTCACTTTTATACTTTCTTTTCTTAGATTTTCTTAGATGTGCCTTCATTTCAGTT